TGGCCAGCCTGGGTGAGGGGCTGATGGCTATTTGCAGGCTGGCCACAGCCACTTCAGGGTGGGGGTCCCAGCTGGGGTGCCTGGCCTGCCTGGGTGAGGGGCTGAGGGCCCTTTTCAGGCTGGCCACACCGCCTTCAGGGTGGGGAGTTCTGCTGGGGTGCCTGGCCAGTCTGGGTGAGGGGCTGATGTCTGTTTTCAGGCTAGCCAAGCTGCCCAGCGGGGACCCTCACCCCATGAGGCTGTGGCCAGCCTGAGTGAGGGGCTGATGGCTGTTTGCAGGCTGGCCACAGCCCCCAGCCACCCAAGCTCCCAGTGGAGGCTGGCTGGAAGCAGGTATCTGGGATTTATTTATCTTCTATAATTGAAACTTTGTTGCCTTGACTGGAGGCCACAGCCAGCCAGGCCAGGCTGGAAGCTTGGCTTCCTCCATCACTGGGGCAACCAAGCCTCCTGCTTGCTCCAGCTCCATGGCTGCTGGCAGCCATCTTGGTTGGGTTAATTTGTATATAGTCGCTCTGATTGGCTGGTGGGCGTGGCTTGGGGCATTGTGGAGGTGCAGTCAATTTGCATGTTTCTCTTTTATTAGATTAGATTATGTCCCCTCCCACACTCTAATTCCCTTCAGTGGGATTTAACACTTTCTGGAGTTTTGTATCACTTTGACAAATTTGTTACAGTGATATCTCATCATGAACAACAAACCTTTCCTATTTTTGATGTGGAGTTGAACATAAAGAATAAAACATTCATCACATCTGTAGACAACCTCACAAATATATACTGTGAAATTAATTAGGAATAAAAAATGGCTTACACCGCTTCATGGTTCATTATGCATGTAGCTCTTGGACAAGAACACTCATTGGTGTTATATGTTAGTCCTATTTTAAGGCCAAGTAATTGAGCTATAATAACTGAAAATCCTTCCAAAGTTATTGCATCTGTATACTAAAATAAAGAATATTGAAGAGAAAACCATTTTATAAGAAGAAAACAAAAGTAGGTAATAAATTAATACATTTTATTCCTATGAAAATTTATATTTGATAACTTCTTTTCAGCATATTTTATAACACTTTATTTTGATATGTCATTGATATGAATATTCATACTAATTAATTAAGAAACATAATATTATGTAAAACTACCAATATTCTCTGATTTAAAAACTGACATACCCAAATTCTGTAGATTTACCCACTTAGAAATCTGATGCAATCAATATAAAACACATTGGGCCAACCAGCGTGGCTCAGTGGTTGAGAGTAGACCTATGAATCAGAAGGTCATGGTTCGATTCTGGTCAGAGCATATGCCCAGGTTGCAGGCTCAATCCCCAGTGTGGGGCATGCAGGAGGCAGCAGCTAATCAATGATCCTCTCTCATCAATGATGTTTCTATCTCTCGCTTCCTTTCCCTTACTCTCTAAAATCAATAAAAGTATATTTTAAAAATATATAAAACAAATTTATCTTTCTCATTAAAGCAATTCATCTAATTAATGAATATTAATTAATTCAGCATACACACGTGTCAAGTACTATGATAGAAGATAGGACTATAGGTGCATAAAAAAAAGGACTGTGCTCACACCTGAAGCTTATCCTATATAATAAGAAAGGAATATGCTAATTAGCTATTATGCCCTGAGGCATAACAACCAAGCTCCTCATGACCAGATCTTGGATCAGCAGGAGGGTGGGACAGCGAGGTACAGCAGGCTGCGGAGAGCTACAGGAGAGGGCAGGGCAGCAAGCTATGAGGAGGGGAGGGGAGAGGGGGTAGAGGGAGTTACAGGAGGGTGGAGCAGTGGGCAGAAAGCTACAGGAGGGTGGCAGTGACCTATTGGCTCATGGATTGTGCACAGAGCTACTAGTATTATAGAAGAGGAGAAAGACAATAAACAGGAAATTCACAATAAACTTTCCAAGTATAAAGAGATAATGAAAAGTACTCTGAAGGAATAGAAGTGTTCCATCGAGAATTTTGAGAAGGAGTATAACTATTTAGTTAAGGTAATGAGAAACATGTATATGTGGAATTGATATTTAGGCTGAGATACAAAGCTTGGAAAATGATCCAGCAATATGAATGGGGGTAGGGTGTTTATATGAGAACCTATTCAAAGGTTGTAGTATAATGAATGAAGTAAAGAAATAACAGAAGTTAGCCCTATCCAATTTGGCTCAGTGGATAGAGCATCGGTCTGTGGACTGGAGGGTCCTGGGTTCAATTCTGGTGAAGGGCATGTACCACTGTTTGAGGCTCAATCCCTGGCCCTGATTAGGGCACATGCAGGAGGCAACTCACTGATGTCTCTCTCACATCGATGTTTCTCTCTCTGTCTCTCCCCCTCCCTTCAACTCTATTTAAAAATCAATGGAAAAATATCCTTGAGTGAGGATTAACAAACAAACACTAAAAGGAATAACAGAAGTTAGAGATATAGGGAAAGCCATGGCAAAACGATTAGGAATGAGAAGTTATTAAAAAAAAAGGTTGCAGATCCTCATCAGATCCTAACCAGAACTCCGACCAGAACTTTGGCTGGAGATCCTGGCTAGAGGTCCTGACTAGGCTGCTGATCAACTGAAGGCTGTCTCCGTGTCATTCCTTCTTCGCCGACTCCGTCCACACCTTTGGGGACCCCTGGACCTGCTGGGGTTGGACCCCAGCACAGCCAATCAGTGATTCTCTCATTGATGTGTCTCTTTCCTGCTCCCTCTCCCTTCCTCTCTGAAATCAATAAAAATATAGTTAAAAAAAAAGGTTGATTTCAGTGCATATTATTTTATTTTGATAAACTGTGATACCTTTCTCATCCCTTTAATGATTACAAGCAAAATTCTTAAAACTTCCCTAATTTTTCCACATCAATTGAAATTTATACTAACATTTAAGTAACTCATATCTAAAAGGAAAAAAGATTGTGTGTACATATGTGCCTGTATGTGAATGAAAACGTGGAATATCACCTAGGAAAGTAGAAAAATGAATTAACAGGCTTCCTGTTATCCTATAAGAGTTAAGCTTGAAAGAAAGAGGAAACTCTCAGTATCAGGATTTGATGGAAGGTTAAAGCCAGAACAGAACACAGATGCTCAACCAACTGAGCCACACTGACCTTGGCAGCACAGTGGTTTTCTTTGGTGAGGGAGGTCCGTGGAAGGAGGCATGATTCATAGGTGTCTTCTGAAGTGTCGATAATATTTTATTTCTTAATCTCTGTGATGTCTGTACCTATGTATTAACTGTGTTATATACTATGATGACTTGTGCAATGTTCCCTCTATATGATGCACTTCAATAAAGCTTAGAAATGAACATGAAGTTATGTGCCAGGAGGAAAAGTTTAAAAAATGAGAAAGAGGATTCAAGGGGTCTAGTTTATGCAAGGATCTGTTTAATTTTATTCAGTCTTATAAAACAATTTGTATTTATAATAAGTACATGTGCATTACTTGATAAAAAGAAACATTTTAAGTAAAAGTAATTGTAGTGAAGTTATATGTTTCAACATGTATCTGTCCTTTAAAAAGCTGTTGAAATAGTTCTGAAATGCTACATAAAATAAGAACAATTCAGAACAATATATAATTAATGGGTAGACATACTTGTAACAATAGTATGAAATATATATAAATGGCAAACATAAATTCATTTTTGTTATTTCCTGTATTTGAAGGAGGCATACAAGAGGTTTTCAATTTGATCAAATGATTTGTCGTTAGAAAATCTAATGAAAATGTTAGTATCCCTTAGTATTACCTGGTGAATGGATATATTAATGCTTGCTAATAATATTTTCTTATGTTTGAAATCTATACTTAAATAAGCTTTCTGAGATTAAAATAATGTGCCAATAAAATGATAATATACACACAGAGAAAAAATTATTATACACTACTTAACTATATATAATAAAACTTATAAAATATAATATAAAGAACAAATATTACATACCACAGCAATATCAGCATCATAGCTTTTATTGCATATCATGCCAGAAAACGTTGTTCCCATATATTTAGGATGTTTCCTGTAACTACATTATTATAACATAGATTTTTTATTAAAATAGTTATTCAGAAAAATTTATTCAATATTTATTAAAATAAATCTTTCATAAAATTTAAAATAATTTTTCAAATATAACTTTTTGATGTGGATAATATATATTATACAAAATGCTCAAATCAATATAAATTACAATTTACTTTATTTTTTAAAATACATTTTTATTGATTTTAGAGAGGAAGGGAAAGGGAGAGAGAAATAGAAATATCAATGATGAGAATCAATGATTGGCTGCCTCCTGCTGGGGATCTAGCCCACAACCCAGGCATGTGCTCTTGGCTGGAATCAAAACTGGGACTCTTCAGTCCACAGGCCGACGACGCTCTATCCACCAATCCAAACCAGGTAGGGCTATAGTTTATTTTAATACAAATTATCTTTCTTAACCTAACTCCTAGGCTTGAGATAATTTTATTATCTCAAATTCTTTTCAGTTTCCCTTATTTTGTATTCATTGTTTTGGTCACTAAAAGTTAAAACAAAAAGGATTTTTAATTTGTGGAAGAAAAATATCTTGCCTCTCCTAAAGATAAGCATTTTTAAAAATTATATATTACCAAAAGACAAGTTCCTCTTTGTCAAACAGTACACACCAAATGTGTTAACATATTTTCAGTAATATTAACAGAATAGTGTCACTCTTTGCATCATTAATAAGCTAGGGCTTACATGTATATATTCTGTAGTATAGTTGATATCACAAAAAATATGAAAAGAAAACTTTTCACATAAAAAGTAATTCAAAATATACTGTTATGTAATTGATTCATTAAAAAATAATTTAATCATTTTCTAATTACACTATCACCTCCATTTAACCGATGTGTTTTATTTATTGTTTTCAAAGGGACCTATGGGATGTTGAAAAAAAATAATAAATGCATTCAGTTATCAAATTAATAGAATTATTTATGTATATATTTTATTAATGTAGAACATTATGCTTACATAAGTAAGAAAGTTATGTCATGGGGCCGTAGGATAAGATCATCCCTTTTCCATGCCAAAAATCTTTTTGATAACTCATCAACATCCCCGATGGTAGAAATTTGGTTTTTATCTGACCACAATTCCAAGGAGGACAGTATCACAGTCAATTTGAGTTGAGTAAACATCTAGAAATAAAATGTATGTTATATTTATTCAAGTAACAAATTATTACATCAAAATTAATAAAAATAAAGAAAACGTTTAGAGGGTTATTTGTGATATGAAAGGCCTTTGAGACTTTAATTTGATACAATAGAATGGAAATTACTTTTCTTAATTTTTTCATAAAATTATAAATGTAAGAAAGTTAAAACTTACAGTGTTGACAAGGCCAATAATTTGGATAATTTTCTGTGTTACAGCCATCATTTCAGATCCCATATAATCATACTGAAAAACATTTTTTTTACAGTTTCTTTAAAATGTGAGTGATAGCAACTTTTTAGATGATGATTGTATCTTGATAATATCAGGAAGAAAAAACAGAATTTTTCAAACAATTTAAAGCATACTAATATAAACAAGATAACATTTACAATAAAAGAAAAGAACTAAAAACTGTACTTGGGCATTCAAAAGACATTCTCACTTGTTAAGTATTTTACTTATTTATTTATTTACACTTGTCCCCCATTCCCTACCCCTTTATCTAACTCCACCCACCCTCTGAACCCCTGACTTTGGCCATCACCACACTGTTGTCTATGTCCATGGACTATGCCTATACAATATTTGGCTAATCTCTTCACCTTCTTTCATCTGTTCCCACCACCCTCCATGTTATATATTTAAAAGACACTCTTGAAATCCTCAAGAGATACTGAAGTGACTTTACAGATTCTTACTTATTATAAAGGGATTTCTTGAGCTAGAAACTTTCTATTGACACAGATGGCATCATATTTCTGGTGGTATGCTTACTAAATAAAAAGGAGCAAATAAAGAAACATTAAAAATAATTGAAATACTCAAATATATCTACAGGAAAAAGACAAATTATAATGATGGAAAGCAATAAATATGTGGATTAAATGACTCAAAACAGTTTGATAAATAATAAAATGAAATAATGTAAAGGAAACGTGGAAAGTTGTTCTCCATAAATGCTAAATTCTTGAGAAGACATATACTCCTTTTTTGGAGCTCAATGAATACATCTGATTTTTGAAGTCATATTTGGAAAAAGCTTAACATCTCCATACAAGTTGCCAATTAGACAAATACAAAATACGGAATTCTACCAAATCGAAAAAATCTGTATATTTTGCTCATTCACAATTGTCATGATTATTAAAACTGATGTATTGCTTACAAATGTTGATAAAAGAAATAATGTAAATTTAATTACATATTTCTGTTTGATGAGTTAAAAATTAAGTGTATTTTAGACAAAATATTTTCCTTATATTACCAAAATACTGCATTAGGGAAGTACTATAAAGGGGGTTGGCAAAAGTAGATTTTATAGTTGTGAGTATGGGAAACACAGAGTTTATTATTGTGTTATTATTATCATAACCTGCATGTCTTTTTCCATATGAACAACTGTAAACCTACTTTCCCCACCCTTGTACATGTGAAGTATAAAACACGCAAATAAGAAAAATCCTTAGTTACGACTATCTGTTTGTGAATACTCAAGATCATCAAATGGTAGTAGAAATTTTTTAATACTAAAGGTCATCATACTTTGTAATGCATCACTAACTCCAAAGGCTTATTTTATAAGAACAACATTCTGAATATATAAGGAAGAAGAAATAGCAATGCTGAATTAGTATAAAATAATACATATCAAAATATGGAAAACAAAATTGGCACAATTTAAAGGAAGAATATAATTTAATTCAATAATCCAACATATTGACACAGCTCTTTCCATAACTGATAGGACCAGAGGCCAAAAACAGGAAAACATAGTAAAATATTCATTAACGTGTATAGAGTACTGCATCAAACTAGGACAGAATATAATAAATCTTTTGAAAATCCATATGAAACATTAACAAAATTAGCCATATACTGAGTCAGAAAGAAGTAACAAAGCATTTCAAAGAATTTACATCATTCAGATCATGTTCTTTTACCCATATGAAATAAAATAAAATATGAACAACAAAATATAATTTGAAAATCCTCAAATACCTTAAATTTAACCAATACAATTCTAAATTACCCGAGTCCAATACACACACATACACACACACACACACACACACTTCTCACACAAATTTGAAAATTATTTTTAAGAAAACAGTATAGTTTTTTTAAAAAAATGTTTGCCTTATGATCCAGGGATCCTACTTCTCGGCATATATCCAAAACAAACAAACAAAATCCCCCAAAAATAACAAAACAAAACTGAAATACTAATTTGAAAGAATAACTCACCTCTATGTTCATTACAGTATTAGTTACAACTACAGGCCCAATGCACGAAATTCATACAAGAGGCTCAACCCTCGCAGCCCCGATTTTGTCTGGAAGGTCCTCTGGGTGGTCGTTCTGCTGTTCGGTCTAATTAGCGTATTAGCTGTTTATTAAATAGGATACCCAAGATCTGGAAACAGCCCAAGTGCCCATCCAGAGATGAGTGGATGAAAAAACTGTGATACATTTACACAATGAAATAATATTCAGCCATAAAAGAAGAGAAAAAGAAAGAAAAGACAACCTTACCTTTTGCACCAGCATGGATGGACCTCGAGATTATTATGCTAAATGAAATAAGCCAGTCAGAGAAAGACAAATACCATATGATCTCACTTATATGTGGAAACTAATAAAATAAACTGACAAAATAGGAAGAGTTATGAATACATGGAACAGACTGACAGCTATCAGGGGGGAATGGGGTTGGGAAGCTGGATGAAAAAATTTGAAGGGATTAGCCAAAGAACATATATGCATAACCCATGGACACAGACTACAGTGTGATGTTAGCTAGAGGGAAAGGGGTGTGGTAGGTGTGGAGAAGGCAAAGAGGCAGGGTGGAATCGTGATGGAAAGAGACTCTACTTGGAGCAATGGGTGCACAATGCAGTGTTCAGATCTTGTTTTGTTAAGTTGTACACTTGAAATCTGTATGGTTTTGTGAACTGATGTCATCCCAACAAATTCAGTAAAAAAAAAAATGCATTTTTTAGAAAATTTTCAATGAAAAAAATAAACACATAAATATTGATAGAAATGCCATATCAAAACTTATGTAACTACACACAAAAACGTGTATTTGTAGATCAAAGAATACAAAATTTCAATTATAAGAAGAATAAATTGTGAGGTTCTAATGTATAAAATAGTGACTAGAGTTAATTATATGGTACTATATACTTGAAAGGAACTGAGAGTAGATCTTTTTTTAAAATATGTTTTTATTGATTTTAGAGAGACAGAAACATCGATGAGAGAGAAACATTGATCAGATGCCTCCTGCACGCCTCTACTGGGGATCAAGCCCACAACCAAGGCATATGCCCTGACCTGGAATTGAACTGGTGACCTCTTGATTGATGGGTCAATGCTCAACCACTGGGACACACTGGCTGGGCTGAGAGTAGGTCTTAAGTGTTCTCACCATACACATACAAAGACACACACAAAAAAAGGAGGAAGGAAGGGAGGGAGGGAGGGAGGGAGGGAGGAAAGGAGGGGGGGAGGAAGGAGGAAGAAAGAAAGAAAGAAAGAAAGAAAGAAAGAAGGAAGGAAGGAAGGAAGGAAGGAAGGAAGGAAGGAAGGAAGGAAGGAAGGAAGAAAGAAAGAAAGAAAGAAAGAAAGAAAGAAAGAAAGAAAGAAAGAAAGAAAGTTAACTATGTGAGGTGATAGATGGGTTTATTATATTGATCTTGGTAATTATTCCACAATATATGTGTATATCAAATCATCATGTACACTTTAAATATATACAATTACATATTACAACTATTTGAAATAAAGTTGAAAAAGTATTAAGTAAATTTGTAAGATCGTAAATACCTGCTATGTTCAAAGAAAACATAAGACCAAAGAGGCTACAGCAAGGCAAGACTGTTAGAAAATGGGGTCAAAGAGATACTGGGCTGAGCTGGGGATGAAGCATGGAATAGACAGTGTAACACATTCTAGGCTAGTTTTAGCTTTTAGTAATAATTAATACCTAAAACAAAGCATCTTTATTTGGAAATAATAAAACAATTCCAAATTTTTAATTTTGTGCTTTGAAATTGAGAAAAATTTCATTAAGTTTAAAGAAAGAAAGAGTGAGAGAGAAAAAAAGAGAGACAGGATTGAAGATTGAGGAATGGAGGGGAGGAGGAGATGGTTTGACTTACCAAAGCTTTTTCCACTATAATATGCATTTCTAGATATTGGGGTAATAGTTTTGAAAGAGTTTTTTCCTGGGGAAACAAATGGATTGAGCAAATGATAATATATATTAAATTTGTTAAATACAAGAAGTAGTATGTAAAGAAGGCAAACAGAATGCATAAAGTATCTTCATAAGGACTTTTTTTGAAATTCAATTTTTTATTTGCATATATTATAATAAATGGCAAGGGAATGCTCACTTTGATTTTAAGAAAACAAAAACAAGCACTTTAAAAAACTAATAATTCAGAGAAAATTTACAAATTATTATTACAGAGTTACTGTGGCCTTAAATATAAAAATTAGTTACAAACAAAAAATTCACTTAACATATATTCTAAATTTAAATAATTCCAGTGAGCTTGTGAGAGTGATGAATGAATCTAAGTACTCTGTATTCATATTAAATGAGAAAAAAATGAGTAGAAATATATACATTCTATTGTCTTCAACTCATGCAAATCTACATTATTAAAAGAACACTTGAGAATTTTTTATGAATTGTCCTCCTAAAAACTATGGGAACACCAACTGTGTCACAATAAAAATATTTCATTCATTCAGCAGAAAAACATGGGGAAATTTTGAGAACTCACAGTCTACACAGGAATTCAGGTAAATAGTGTGACTTGTACTATCAACCACATGGGTGCACAGGAAAGAACAGAATGTACAATAGCAGAAACAATCCTGTAGCTCCAGGTCATAGGCTTTAAGTTCCTTCTGATGTGATCTTATAATTCTTGACTGTGCCAGCAGTCAGCTATAAATCATCAGCTTATTACATCATCATTTGGCACTTTAATGACAATTTTCATGTGAGCTACTAGTACATCTTAAACATATTACAATGCCATTTCACATATATAAATTTCAAAGAAACCAAAATTTCATTCTTGACCCAAGCATATCATTCACTAAATATAATAGTAAGAAAGGTACAAATATTGGGTCTAGGTTAGCCTAGGTTAAAGCAAATAAATAAGCAAACTGGACTCAGTGGGTAGAGCCCATGTTTAAATGTTTGCTTACATTTCCATAGGGAAGTAAAATATGCCTGCATTCCATACACAAGGTTGGGCAAAAGTAAATTTACAGTTGTTCATATGGAAAACAATATAGTATTTAATAAATAATAATACAAGAATAAACTGTGTTTTGCATACTCACAACTGTAAGCCTACTTTTGCCTAAATGTATGTGTTGTTGTCATTCTCTGTCTGTCTGACCACATGTATATATGCAGTGTTGTAGGAAAAAAGTTCTCTTAACTTTTATCAACCCTTAGTAGTCTTATAATAATGGTGATCATAAGATTTGTTATTTAAACTGAAAAAAATGTGCAGCAGGAAAAAGGGCACTAAAATAATTTAAATTATTTATTATTAAAATTGATATTTAGTTCAATTTTATTAGTTTAAATCTTTCTACTCAAAAGTGATTTCCAAAACACTATATCTGAGTATACAAAGCTAAAACTTTTTAAACCTTTTCATTGATTAAAAATAGCATAGCCACATGGACATCAACATCATGGCAGAATCAGCATCAACAAGTTGGATAATTACAATTAAACAAAGGATCCCTTGTTCAACGCAGAGACATCTGAGTGATCCACACATCAGTCCATCTGAAAGTGGGCACATTGGAACAGTAAGGGAGGCAGGTTGGGGGAAGCAACATCCCTGCCTAAAAGTCCATTGTGGTGAAACCTGGTGGCAGTAGTAGAGATGTGGAGGATTTATGGTGGTCATTGCTGACAAAGAGAGAAAGCTGTGGTCTTGTGGTAGCCATTACTGATTTAGAGGCAAAACCTCAAACCCACATACCTACATCCTCTAGCCCATTGCAGCAGAACCCAGTAGAGGTGGGACCTATTGAAGAAGCAGAGATACACATTGGTAATAGGAGGAGTGCCAGGAGCTCCCAGGCCCAGAGCCTCACTACCCTCTATATCCCACCATGAGATGGCGCCCCAAAACAGTGGCAACCCAGGCACAGAGTGGACATCCAAGACCCCGGGAAATACAGGATATTTTCCATGACTGAGGCCACACCAAGCCACTAAGATTCCAGTGCTATTAAGAGAAAACAAAAACTTGCACTATAGCATCATCTACTGAAAAACAAATGAAGGACCTCTTTAGAAGCCTGCTGAATTGTTAAAAGCAAAGAGTAACTAAAAGAGACTTCATTATCTCAAATGTACAGGCACAGAAACAATCCATCAAGTATCATGAATAACCAATGCAAAAAGTTAACAAAGAAAGAAAATAAAGTCTCCAGAAACCAAATTCAAAGACAGGGAAGACTGTGATTCAAATGACAGAATTCAAGAATGCAGTTATTAAACAAACAAATAAACAAACAAACCTCAACAAGATTACAAAACACTCATAAAGGCAGTTCAGTGATTTTTAGGAACAAAATTAATGAACAAAGTATGTACTTTACCAAAGCGATTTGAAAGTTTTATAAAAAAAAAAAGAAACAGAAATTCTTGAGCTAAAGAACTCAATAAATGAGATGAGTAATTAAAGCATGAGAAATAAAGCATATCACATGAAAGAGGTAATTAGTGCTCTTGATGATTGAAACAGAAATGGCTCAGGAGGAAGAAGAGAGAGAACAAAAATAAAAAAAATAAATAAAAGAGTTCTACAAAAACTATATGACTCCATTAGAAACAACAAAGTAAGGATAATGGGTATAGCCAGAGAAGAAGATAGGGAGAAGAAAACATAGAATGTATTCAAAGAAATAATTGGTAAGAACTTCCCAAACCTATGAAAAGTGTTCAAATACAAAAGCTAAAAGAACACCTAATTATTTCAATGCAAAAAAATCTTCTCTAGCCCTAGCTGGTTTGGCTCAGTGGATAGAGCATCAGCCTGTGGACTGAAAGGTCCCCAGGTTCGATTCTGGTCAAGGCATGTACCTTGGGTTGCGGGCACATGGGGAGTGGGCAGGGGGCAGCTGGTCGATGTTTCCCTCTCATCGATGTTTCTAATCTAACTGTCTATCCCTCTCCTTTCCTCTCTGTAAAAAATCAATAAAATATATTTAAAAAATCTTCTCCAAGACTCATTATATGAAAACTGTCAAAAGTTCATTACAAAGAAAGAATTCTTAAGGCATCTAGGGTGTAAAACACTGTACCCTGCCAAGGAAATCCCATTAGGCTATCATTAAATTTTTTTAGTGAAAACATCACAAGGTAGGAGAGAGTGGACAAAAATATTCAAAATACTGAAAGAGAGAACCAACCAGCCAAAAATAATATATCCTGCAAAGCCACCCTTTAGATATGAAGGAGAAATAAGTACTTTCCCAGACAACAAAAGTTGAGAGAATTCACCACCAGAAGATCTGTATTACAAGAAATGTTAAAAGAAGTTCTTCTAGCAGAATCATAACGAAAAAATGGTATACAAAACTTTGAATAAATGACAGACAGAAACTTACTACGCTACTTCAAAAAGAGAGCATTAAACACTTAATTATATCATAAAAGTTAAAGGGGGAAAAGCATTAAAAGTAACCTACTGCAATTTGGCAATGAACACATAACATAAAAAGGGATAATTTGTGTGAGTGTGTGTGGGGGGATAGGAGGAGTGAAGAACACAAGTACAGGTGAATGTATATGAGGCAATAAGAAGGAAAAGGACTATGGTATGTATGAGACATTTTACAAAAACCTAATAGTAACCATAAAACAAAAATTCAGAGCTAAGACATGAAACATAAACAAAAGAGTAAACAGAGAAAAAAGTCATAGGAAACCACCCAACTAAAGTAACAGACAAAAACACAAGAGGAAAAAGACAATGGAGATACAGAGCAACCAGAAAATAAAAGATAAAATGGCTGCAGTAAGTCTTTATCTATACTAATAAAAGGGTAATATGCTAATTATACAGGATCGAATGGACATCTTCCGGACGTCCAACTTCCTTCTGGACAAAGCCACGGTGGCGGGGGCTGAGGCAGAGAAGGTTAGGGGCAATCAGGCCGGCAGGGGAGGGCAGTTAGGGGGTGGCCAGGCTGGTAGGGGGGCACTTAGGGGGCAACCAGGCCAGCAGGGGGGGAAGTTAGGGGGTGGCCATGCTGGCAGGGTGGCATTTAGGGGGCAACAAGGCCAGCAAGACACCAGTTACGGGGCTATCAGGCCAGCAAGCAGAGGCAGTTAGGGGCTATCAGTTAGGCAGGTAGAGTGGTTAGGGGCAATCAGGCAGGCAGGCAGGCAAGCAGTTAGGAGCCAGAGGTCCTGGATTGCGAGAGGGGTGAAGCCTAAACCGGCAGTCGGACATTCCCCCGAAGGGTCCCAGATTGGAGAGGGTGCAGGCTGGGCTGAGGGACACCCCCCCCCACCCCACCGGGCCTCTAGTATATCAATAGTTATGCTAAATAGAAATAGATTGAACTCACAAATCAAAAGGCACAGAGTAGCGGGATGGATTAAAAAACAATTTAAAACCCAATTATATGTGCCTTCAAGAGACTTAGCTCCAAAAACAAACAGGCTCAAAGTGAAGAGGTGGAAGATGATACTCTAAGCAAATGGCATTCAGAGGAAAGCAGAAACAATAGTACTTATATCAGACAAAGGAGATTTCAAAACAAAAAAGGTACCATGAGATAAAGATGGACATTTCAGAATGATAAAGGGGACAATTCTTCAAGAAGACATAATACTTATCTATCTATCTATCTATCTATCTATCTATCTATCTATCTATCTATCTATCATCTATCTATCATCTATCTCCACCCTGGCAGTGCCAAAATATAGAAATCAATTACTAACAGACCCAAAACAAAAAAATGACACCAATACAATTTTAATATGAAATGTGAATACCCCATGGCCAGCAATGAATATATCTTCCAAACAGAAAGTCAGTAAGGAAATATTGGCCTTAAATGATACATTAGGGCAAATGAACTTAATTAATATTACTATAACTTTCCATCTCAAAAAGACAGAATACACATTTTTCTCAAGTGCACACAGAACTTTCTCAGGGATAGACTATTTGTAGGTGTACACAACTAGTTTCAATACATTTAAGAAAGTTGAATTTGTACTAGTATATTTTCTAACTATAATTATATGAATCTGAAAATCAACTACAAAAAAAGAGCTGGAAAAACCACAAATATATGGAGATTAAACAACATGTTACTGAACAACTATTGGATCAAAGAATAAATAAAACAAGGTATCAAAAGTTACATAGAAACAAATGAAGCTAAAAGTATAAGATATAAAAACTTGGGGGAGTCATCAAAAGCAGTACTAAGAAGAAAGTTTATAGCATTACAGGCCTACATCGAGAAATAAACAACAACAAAAAATTTCAAATAAGAAATCTAACATTATAACTTAAAGAAACAGAAAAAGAATAACAAATTAAGCACAAAACCAGGAGAGGGGAGGAAATAATAAAGATCAAAGTAAAAATAAATGAAATAGAGAAAAAAAGATAGTAGAAAAAAATAATAAAATGAAGAGATGGCAATTTAAAAAGATAAAATTGTCAGGCCTCTAGTTAGACTCACTAAGAAAAAAGAGAGAAGACTCGAATGAAATCCGAAATAAAGACAAGAAGCTACAATGGACACCAGAGTGGATACCTAGAAGAAACTGACAGATTTTTAAAGGGAAACAAGCTTCCTAGACTGAATAAAGAAGCATTAGAAACCAAAAGAGACCAATCTCTAGTAAGAAAATTGAAACAGTAATCAAAAACCTCCCAAAAAACCAAAAATCTAGGAGCAGATGCCTTCACTGGTGAATTCTACCAAACATTCAAAGAAGATTTAATATCAATTATTTTTAACCTCTTCCAAAAAATTAAGGAAGAAAGAGTATTTTGTAACTCATTTTATGAGGCCAACATTACCCTGACAGCACTATCAAATATACCAACATACTCATAATAAGAGTACCAGAAAGTAAGAAGATGGATAAAGAGGTAGAAAGAATTCATGGCCAGAAATTTCTCAAATTTAGTGAAAAATATTTATTTAAACAACCAGGAAGTTCTATGAATTCCAGCTAGGATCAACTCAAAGAGATCCACTCAAAGACACATCATAACAAAACTGGTATAAAGCAAAACAAACAAAAAAAGAATCTTAAAAGAAGCAACAGAGAAGGGACTCATCATATACACTGAGTGGCCAGATTATTATGACCACCCCATCAGTACTTCGTTGGGCCACCTTTTGCCTTCAATACTGCAGCGATTCTTCTTGGCATTGACTCCATGAGATGTTAAAAGGTGATGCGAGGAATCTGACACCATGCCTGATGAATAGCACTGTCCAGTTCTGTGAGATTTGATGGTTGTGGAACTAGCTGCCTGATGGCTCTTTTAACTTCGTCCCACAAATGCTCAATTGGATTGAGATTTGGTGATTGTGGGGGCCACCTAAGCAAGGTGAAGTCTCCCTCACGTTCTTTTTTATTTTTTTAAATATATTTTTATTGATTTCAGAGAAAAAGGGAGAGGGAGAGAGAGATAGAAACATCAATGATGAGAGAGAACCATTGATTGGCTGCCTCCTGCACACCCGCAACTGGGGATTGAGCCCACAACCCAGGCATGTGCCCTTGACCGGAATCGAACCTAGGACCTTTCGGTCCGCAGTCCGATTCTCCATGCACCAAGCCAAATCACCTGCAGTGGTCGGCAAACTGCGGTTCACGAGCCACATGCGGCTCTTTGACCCCTTGAGTGTGGCTCTTCCTAAGCCGTAGGAGTACCCTAATTAAGTTAATAACAATGTACCTACCTATATAGATTAAGTTTAAAAAATTTGGCTCTCAAAAGAAGTTTCAATCATTGTACTGTTGATATTTGACTCTGTTGACTAATGAGTTTGCCGATCACTGACAATCCTCATGTTTTTAAAACCACTCCTGCACAATATGAGCACCATGGCATGGAGCATTGTCTTGTTGGAAGAAGCCATCTCCATTGGGATACGCCATCAACATGATAGCATGAACTTGATCAGCAATGATACTTAGGTATGTTGTGCTATTCAGACGTTGTTCCACATGAATTAAAGGGCCCAAATCATGCCAGGAAAACATGCCCCAAACCATAACACTGCCCCCACCAGCTTGAAGGGTTGTACTCATGCATGTGGGGTGCATGCTTTCATGCTGTTTCTGCCAAATTCTCACTCTGCCATCTGCATGATGCAACTGGAAACGTGATTCATCGGACCACATGACTTTTTTCCAATGTTCGACTGTCCAATCCTTGTGTTCCTGTGCGAATTGGAGACGTTTTATCTTGGTAACTGCCGACATCAAAGGTGTTCGAACAGGCCTTTGGCTTCCATATTCCATATGATGCAGTGTACAGCTAGTCTGCCTACAAACATCAGGTGGGTCATAATAATCTGGCCACTCAGTGTATAAGAATCCTTAATATGTTTAATAATACCTGAATTTTCATCATAAAACTTGGAGTCCATAAGATAGCAAGTTGAAATATTCAAAGTGATGAAAGGAAAACACCTGTCAACCAAAAGTTATATTCCAGCCTATAGATAAATTGCTCTGTGTCCCTGACACCCAACTCAGTGGTCTGGACCCACATCCCTGTGGGTGGTGCAGATAGAGCATCTACAGAAAAAAAAATTCCTAGGCACTGCCTTTCTCCCCAGGCTGGCTTCGGGGCTGCCTCTGAGAGTTTAATGTAGACAAATGATTATTTATTTTAGAAAGATATGTTTTGGTAGTAAAGTTATGCAACAAAAATATGTAAAAATATTAAAAGTATTTTTCCCAGGAAACAGTGATAACTGTTAGTAATAACTAATAGTGATTCTATTCTTCCCCTATTTCTAAATTTTATTTAACAATATGAATTTTTATTTAAATACAAGAAAAAGAAATGATACATAATATATCATAAAACAATAAGCTTGCAATATGTTATATACTTTTTCATATTTTAGGTGGAATATGGGTGTTTTGTTTAAAGATAAAGAAAAAAGATACCAAATTTAATATTCCTACTCAACAGCTAAACAGTTCTTTTTCCCAATTAATAAAGATCTACAGAAGTAATTTCATGGTATGTCATAACTTCAGAATTATTGTAGTTACCTGTGAGATTAAATAACTTTTATAGGTCTGGTTTTTCTGCCAAATATTGCTGTAATTTTCTATTAACATTGGTATATCTGTATTGTTATTTTTTACTTGATAAATTATGTGTTCAAATCTTGCCGAAGATTCCAATGGTTCAATTCCATAGCTGATATTTTCAAACTGAAGGAATCCCCTGTATATTTAGAAAGCAATGGCAAAAAAAAATCCTAAAAATGATCACATCAAAACTACAATATAAAATATTGTAAGAAATTATGAACCAGAGTAAATAACATGTTTAAGGCACTTTTCCCTCTATTTTTTTTTGTCTACCATTAATAACTTAACCACATTTGCCTTATTATTTTCTCACATATTAAAGAACTAAATAAATGGAAGTGTATTTTGTATTTTCTGTATAGAAATCACATTCATTCAAAATATATTACTTAAGGACAAGTAATAGCTGGGAAACAAGATGTTTGTTGGCTATTTCAAGAAGAAAGTTTCTGTTCTTACAGAGGTTAGGATAAGGGAAAGCAGGAATACAGAGTGAATATTTAAAGAGGTTGATATAAATTAAAACGACATTCAGAGAATGCTAGTTTTCTGAGTTGACATGAGCAAATTTTATAAATCAGGCAAACAAAAACTAAAAGGAAGTTAGAGTGTATTATCTGTTCTGGATTCATCTTCCTCTGATAAAGTTACCACCTTCCTCTTTCATCATTAATGATGAAAATTACTTTTCTTGACCCTTTACTTCTACTTCCCCTTCATTTAGCAACCATCAGCTTGTTATCTATATCTATAAGTCTGTTTTGCTTTGTTTATTTAATTGTTTTGTTTTAGAATCCAAATATAAATGAAATCATGATGTTTGTGTTTCTCTGTCAGACTTATTTCACTTAGCATAATACCCTCTAGGTCCATCTATGTTGTCACAAATGGAAAGATTTTATTCTTTTTTATTGATGAGTAATATTCCATTGTATATGTACCACATCTTCTTCATTCATTCACTAGAGGCTCAGTGCATAAAATTCATGCACTGGGATGGGGGGTCCTCAGCCTGGCCTGTGCCCTCTCACAGTCTGGGACCCCCTCAGGGGATGTCTGCCTGCCAGCTTAGGCCTGATCCCTCTCAAAGTCTGGGGCTTTCTCATTCCAGGACCCCTCACTCCTTACCGCCTGCCTGCAGTGGAGGCGGTAGAGGCTCCCGCCACTGCCGCTGCGCTCACCAGCCATGAGCCCGGCTTCTGGCTGAGCGGCGCTCCCCCTGTGGGAGTGCACTTACCACTAGGGGGCATTCCTGCATTGAGCATCTGTCCCCTGGTGGTCAGTGTGCATCATAGCGACCAGTCGTTCTGGTGGTTGTTCCGCTGTTCATTTTACCATTAGGTCAATTTGCATATTAAGGTTTTAGTATATAAGACTGACTGATGGACATTTAGATTGCTTCTATTAATGCTGAAGTAAACATAGGAGGACATATATCTTTTCAAGTTGATGTTTTTATTTTTTATTTTCTGTGGATGAATATCCTTAAGTGAAATTGCTGGGTCATGTGGCAGCTCTATGTTTAATTTTTTAAATTAAATTTATTGTGGTGATATTGGTTAATAACATTATATAGGATTCAAATGTACATTTCTATGATACATGATCTGTATATTACATTGTGTGCCCACCACCCAAAGTCAAATCTTGTACTGCCACCATATATTTGACCCCTTCACCCTTCACTGCCGCACCTTTTCCTCTGGTAACCACCATACTATTGTCTGTGTCTATGAGGTTTTCTTGCTCATCCGTTCCTTTCAGTTTATATCCCACATATGAGTGAAATCATATGGTTCTTAACTTTTAAAAAATGTATATTTTTATTGACTTCAGAGAGGAAGGGAGAGGAAGAGAGAGAGATGGAAACATTAGTGACGAGAGAGAATCATTGATCAGCTGCCTCCTGCATATACCCCGTACTGGGGACTGAGTCCACAATCCAGGCATGTGCCCTGACCAGGAATCAAACCCTAACCTCCTGGTTCATAGGTTGATACTCAACCACTGAGCCAAACCAGCCTGGCTTGTTCTTAAATTTCTCAAGATCCATCGATGTTGTCGCAAATGGCAGTATTTCATCTATTCTTACTACTGACTAGTATTCCATTGTATATATGTACCACATCTTCTTTTTCCAATTTTCTATTGAAGGACACTTTGAGTTGAATAATGCTGCAATGAACATATAGGTACATATATCTTCGAGAACAAATGTTTATTTTTTTGAGGCATATTCATACAGTGGGGCCTTGACTTATGAGTTTAATTCGTTCCGAGACCGAGCTCGTTAAGGAGCTCGTTAAGGAGCTCATTAACTCAAATTACTCTGTCAACTCAATGCAAAAAATCGGCCGAGAGACAGCTGGTATCTCAAAAAACTCGTTAGTCGGGACACTCATAAGTCAAGGCCCCACTGTACTGTTTTTCATAGTGAATGCACCAATTTACAATCCCACCAACAGTGTGCAAGGATTCCCTTTTCTCCACATGCTCACCAGTACTTGATATTTGCCAATTTTTTTATGATAGTCATTCTGACAATTATGAAGTGATATCTTATTTTGGTTTTGATTTTCATTCCCCTGATGATTAGTAATGTTGAGCATCTTTCCATATGTCTGTTGACCACCTATATGTCTTCTTTGGAGACATATCTAAGTCCTCTGAGGTACCTTCCTAATTAGTTGTTTTATGTGTGATACTGAGAGTACCTTAACTGTGAGCAAAATATGTCCCTGTTTTAATAACTAATTAATATCATTTTCCATAACTATTTAAGACAACTGATAGATAACTCAGCTATAATGTTTAGGAAAATGTTCTAAACTTTCCTTTACTGAAACTATCTTTTTCTGCATAGTATATTCAAAATACCTCCAGCCAGGTTTTCCTGGGGTGATTTCATTTGAATAGGTAGTAACCACTAGCTACAAATACTTACACCTTTTAAAAAAGAAGGTAATCATAAAGAAAACTTTCATATTTGGATTCCTCTTAAACCTTACTATATTTGTGTCTGCTAGCCACTAAGTTTCATTTTGAAGTGCATCCTAAGTTTTTCATGTGTAAATATTCTCTAAGATGTTATTACCTGAGACCAGAACAAATGCTGAGTGTTGCAGCTGAATTTGGAAAGTTTGCAGCATATCCTTGGTAATGGCAATGCATCTGAAAGATAGTATAGAAAGGCAAATAAATTAATTCTTTATGAATAAAATATGTATGGTAAAATATTATAGATGATTCAAAATGTTAAAAGATTATATATTATACAAAATTTATTTATGCATATTTTTAGGGAAAAATATTTTTTACTACTCTCCTTACTTTGTACCTCCTAAGTGTCCATGAATATTACCTCAACATTTCATCTTATTTCTATGTACAACAATCAACCTCTTAACATATCATAATTATATGGAATAAAATATTTATTTAAACTATACACATAGAACAAACATATCTCAATGGTAATATGTCCATTTCAATAAAACAACATATAATAATAAATGTCTAAGACATCTTACCTTAAAATATGAAGAATCAGTATGCAAAGATCCAGTTTCATTAAATGTATAAACCAAAAAGTCCTGGGATAAGAATGAGCTAAGAAACAACAACAAACTGTTTGAATAATGAATTTAATATGAATTAAACATTACAGTAATAAAAGTAAATGTAAAATTTATTAGGATCATATAATAATACTAGAGGCCCAGTGCACAAAAATTCATGCACTGGGGGTGGGTCTCTCAGCCTGACCTGCCCCCTTTCACAGTCTGGGAGCCCTCAGGGGATGTCCTACTGATGGCTTAGGCCCGCTCCCCACAGCGGGCGGGCCTAAGCCGCAGTCTGGCCTCCCTCTGCGAGAGGTGACCGGGCTAATCATGGGAAGGCACTGCCCTCATCACTCTGCTGCTGCTGCCACTGACAGCCACCGCAGCTGCTAGCCCTCGGCCTTTGCTGCCCACAACTGCCCTCCCCTGCCGGCCTGATCGCCCACAACTGACCTCCCTTGCCATGACCCGCCTCCTCCACTGGGACCTGCCTCCTCTGCGCAAGGCAGCGGAGATGCTGGGACCAGCATCTGGGAAGGCACTGCCCTCATCACCCTGCTGCCGCTGCCACTGACAGCCACCGCAGCTGCCAGCCCTCGGCCTTTGCTGCCCACAACTGCCCTCCCCTGCTGGCCTGATCGCCCACAACTGACCTCCCTTGCCATGACCCGCCTCCTCCACTGGGACCTGCCTCCTCTGCGCAAGGCAGCGGAGATGCTGGGACCAGCATCCTCTGCTCCGGGGCAGAGCAGCAGGACCCCCAGGCCTCACCGTGCAGAGCGGCTGCCGGGCCCTGCCTCTGCTGTGTGCATGGACATCTTTTGGCGACCATCTTGTGGTGGCCATATTTTGATGACGTTGCGCACACGATGCCACCTAGGCTTTTATTATATAGGATTATTTATTTATGCACTTGGCTGAGTTTTATGATATATAAAGTGTACCCTATACAATTCAAAATAAACACATATAATTAATACATTCATAAGATGTATGCTACTAGTTGAATTTCCCACCAATAACCATTTGATGCGTTAACTATGTTTGAGTTCCCATGAGATATACTTATTATCTGTCACAATTATTGGGTTCAGTGGCTTTATACTCAATTAAAGATTTGTAAATATACTAGAGGCCTGGTCACGGATTTGTGCACCGGTGGGGTCCCTCAGTCTGGCCTGTGCCCTCTCGCAATCTGGGACCTCTTGGGGGATTTCAGACTGCCAGTTTTGGCCCAATCCCCACAGGCTTGGCCAAAACTGTCAGTCTGACATCCCCCAAGGGATGTAGTAGTGCATGAAGTGGCTTCTGCTCATCCCAGCCCCGCTGCGCCTGCCACCACTGCCACTGCAGCTGTGGTCACCAGCCCTGAGCCTGGCTTCTGGCTGAGTAGTGCTCTCGCTATGGGAGTGTACTGACCACCGAGGGCAGCTCCTGTGTTGAGCATCTGTCCCCTAGTGGTCAGTGCACATCATAGTGACTGGTCAACTGGTTGAGCAGTCGATGGGTTGTAATAGTCACTTAGGCTTTTATCTATATAGATAGCTTATTTCTAAATTTGAAAATAAAAGCTGAATAATTTAGTGCAACAATCACATAGATCTAAGACTCAAGGCGTAATAAATCCTACATTGAAAATGGATTGATTAAACATTCTTTATCTTTTCTTCATTATTATATTTAAACTAGAGGCCCATTGCATGAAATGTGTGCAAGGGGCTCAGCCCTCACAGCCCCAGCTGCCTCGGTCCTCACAACCGCGGCAGCTGCCTCAGCCCTCATAGCGGCCTTGGCCCTCGCAGCCGCTGCAGCCCCGGCTTTGTCCAGGAGGTCATCCAGAAGGATGTCCGAACGGTCGTTGCATTGTTTGGCCATCCAGTCTAATTAGCATATTATGCTTTTATTACTATAGATAGTAACAAAAAATTTTAAAAGTAAAATCTAAGCTTTAAGGGGAAATTATATCTTACCTTTTTGTGAGATACAGAGTGTATGGTTTTTTATCAATTGTAATGTTATAAATCACCTAAAACAAAGCAAATCAATAACAATGGTTTAGTAAATAAAAAAAATATACAAAGTAAAACTTTTTCATTCATGTCAAAAAAAGACTCAATCCATGTATATATTCTTCAGAATTTATTATTCTAAATAGAAGGAATTCATTATTATAATAAATTCAGGATTAGGGTGATGCATTTAATCTGTAGGAATAGCTTTTTTAAAAGAAAAAAGCTGAAGGTCACATTTTCAAAAAGTATAAGTTTAGCCTTATTATTACTACAGATTAATCATTTCTATGTGAAAAATATATACATTTTTCTAGTGAAGATGAATGAGACATGGCTGCAGACTAACATTCTATGCTAAATACAATGAAACGAAAACAAATTTATAAATACATATGTACATACCACTGATGCCATTTTAATTAACCTAATTATTAATAACAGGAAAGGAACACAGGAAAGCCAAATATTATAGGCATGCCATTTGTACAGCTTTGCTAGGAACCTACACTTTAACACTCTTCAGGGAGCCACCAGGCTATTCCCCACAGATGCCTGGGGAAAGGGACTGGAGAGGGAGAATACACACACCCGCAGTAAAGTCAGGGCCACACAGGGAAGGTACTTGCCTGTCAAGTCACAACTGGGAACAGGTCTTTGGCCAGAGTAGATTGTGGCCACTGCAAGTGCAGGAAGATTTGAGATATTTAGTCTACTAAACAAAGAAGTTCACTCTCTTGGCTCCTGGCTCTCTTGGTTTGTGCTCTTGGTCACTCTTGGTTCTCTTGCAGTCACCTACATTAGCCACAGCCATGTGGACCGCCACAATGGACTGATGGACTGCAACTAGCCTAATGCTAAACTGGACCCAATTCCAACATGGAACAGAAACTGGACAGTGGCTTTGCTTCTAGTTCCAATGAATCCCCAGCTGCGCTTCTTCCAGGACTGGATTAAGGAAAATGGGATGTTGGAAACCCAGGGAAGTAAGTGGACACAAATGAAAAATCACGCATCCTCCTATGTGAGTCTCAGAAAAGTCTTTTTCTCGAGATAGCGTAAGGACCCCACCCTCAGCACTCAGTGGGGAAAGGGATACCCCCCTTCTATGATAACACTACCAAATACACCTACAGCCACTTCACAATCCTCTCCATATATAAACCACGAGGGGGAAAAGACCTGAGAGAATGATGCTAGTGAGAAATGCCGCAGCTTCAGGAATAAGAGCTACAATACAACATGATCATCATCCTCCTAATGTGGTGACATCCAGGAATAGGAGTGGCTCTAAAGATGTTTACAGGGTGAGTCAGTGGACTGTCTCCACAAAGGCAGACAGACCTCTCTGCTAGCAAATCCAAATTTTCTTTTCAAGACAAACTAATTTTAAGAAAGTTCTCTGATTTTAAGGAAAGGCAGTCTGTGAGCCTGAGAGAGGGACATTTCCAGGAAGTACAAGAAGCCCACAAACTCAGAGACCAGATATCTAATAGCCCAGAACTGAAAATGTGGGCCTGAGATAGGATAGCAAGAAGCCAGGAAAATTCCTTGGCAAGTAGAATGGGGAAACTGCAACAGTTCAACAAACTGGCCAGTCAATTTACATCCAGATACAGAAAGTCATCTCCCTAGAGATAACATCAGAGAGAATATCTAGGCCTCAGTTGTATTTCAGCTTCAGGCTTAGAAAAGTAGCAAAACCAGCTGGGTGCCTCCAGGACCAGCTATAATAACAAATGATCCCCGCCCTGGTGCTGACCAATCCCTAGAGATCAGGACCCTGAAAAAGCACACCTTGGAAATGGAAAATATTCTGAAACCCTCCCCTAAGATTCCCACCCACAGGGAGATAAAAAAACAAACAAACCCTCAAAACAAAGATTCTGAGTGTGCTCTCGCTCTGGGGAGCATGCCCATGCCCCTCCCCGCCCCTTTGTTCCCCCACAGGCACAAATCTCCTAAACTCAAAGGTCCTCAGGAGACTTGCTACTAGGGGAGCAATGGGCAGCAGCACCTTATCCAAGGCTAACCCCCTGAACCTGTCTCCAAGGTTCCCTTTTTTCTGACTTCCCAGTGAGCTAAAGCATCCCTGTCTATGCTCATTTCTTTCCTATAACGTTTTTAGAGAACCAAAGTAGCCCAGCCTAGGCTCTCCTATTGCATCTTCTATGCTAAGTCCCTTGCTTCACTGTCCCCAGCTTTAATAAACATACCCTCAACGTCACCTGGACTCATTTTGTGAAATCTTTTCTGCATGAAGTCAAGAACCCACACACTACCTGCTGGCCCGAGCCAGACACACTCAGGGCCAAGTCCTTTATCTGGTAACAGTCCTAGCTAGAGTACCTTAGTCTTCCTTCAGAATTAGACCTGTCCCCCTCTTCTCTTTCCCAATTATAGAGGGTTTCATCAGTGCCCTCAGGCCACAGGCCTCTTTAACCTTTTCCCAAGAAACTAAAGATTTTGCATCATAAAGGAGGTAAAAGAGATGAGTTTGGGTAGAGTTTCTGAAGTGGCAGATGTTCCTCCAAATTCTCAGAGTGAAATCTGTTGTTATAATTTTCCTACAAACTCCTAGACAAAAATCAATGAATGTCTGAAAGTTAGCAACAAAGGTTTGCAAAAGTTATCCTGTATTACTTTAATATAACAATTAATAATGACATATTACTTAAAAATAAAAAAATACAGAACCCATCTCAGATATTTCCTCAGGAGGATGCTGTGACAACAGACAGAAATGACAAAATCCTTACAAGAAAAAAATATGTGGAAAACAGAAGCTTTAAATGCAAACAAATCACCTTAATATACATCTATAGTACACTGCATAATAAATATATAGAAACATACACACTGGAGTCAAATGCATTACCTCAACATAGTGAAATTCAATTAAAAATCAGGCCCAAAAGATATCTAGAAAATGCCCAAATATGCACATTTCAAAATTTCCCATGGGTCAATGGAGAAACAACAAGGAAAATTAAAAAAAATGTTATATTAAAATATTATAAATGCAGATTATATAACTGTTATGTAATGAAGTGACATCAGTGTAAATCAGAATAAGAACCACCCAAAATTCTCTTCTACATAAAATCAACATGAGAACTGAAAAAGTTGTTAGAATCAACCTCTTCAAATCTCTAGAAATTAACAGAAGGTTTATAATATTTTGGGGAGTGTTTATTCAAGAAAAATAACTGATCTTAGTAAAAACAATAATATTTGGGGAAATTGAATTTGCTCTAGTCTCTTCTTTTATTAATTGAAAAAGAAGAGAATGCATTTACAGTGAATACCAGCAGACTAGCAACCTCTGAGAAAAGCAGAATATGGCTGGAGCATTTTCAAAATCTCATTTCCAGAGAAATGCCAGGATTTGAGTCACTTTGTGGTTCTTAGAAGACCCACTTCAAGCTTGTATATATGACATAAATCAGATCTCACCTAATGTCAAAATCCTTTTCCCAAAAGCATTTGCTGAAAACTACAGACTTTTTTTTTTAACTTCACAGTTGCCTGATGCAATGAATCAATAGGGCAAACAACAGATCAACCAAAAAACTTAAAAGGACCATATAATTTCACCTATAAGTAGAATCTAATGAACAAAATGGCAAACAAATAGCAACAGACTCACATATATAAAGAACAAACTGAGAGCTGTCAGAGGAGAGGGTGATTGGGGAACTGGGTGAAAATGGTGAAGGAATTAAGCCAAGAAAACAAACAAAAAACCAAACAGAAAACAACTCATAGACACAGATAATAGTATGGTGCTTACCAAAGGGATTGGGGAAGGATGAAGAGGGTAAAGGGAGTATAAATGTTGCTAGAAGGAGACTTGACTTGGGATGGTAAACACACAATGTAATATACAGATGATATACTATAAAATTATATACCTGAAACCTATATAATTTTTTAACCAATGTTGTCCCAATAAATTTAATAAAATTTTTTAAAAAAAGAAAAGCTTTATGATCAAACTAGAGACCTAGTGCATGAATTCGTGCACAGGTGGGGTTTGGCTGGGCCTGTTGGGAGGAGGAGACAGCAGGAGGTTGACTGGCTGGCTTGCCCCAATCTGGGCCTGATTAGAGATGGGTTGGCTGTGGGGAGGGGCAGTGGGCAATTGGCCTGCAGGCTCTGCCCCAATTGGGGTGGGGGGACTGATTGGGGGTCAGCAGCTGAGGGAGGGGTCATGGAAGATTGGCCAGCCAGCCCCACTCCCGATTGGTGTGGAGGGGCGATTGGGGATGGGGCTGGACAGTGGGA